TGTCTGTGAGGGAGTTTTTAGCCAGTAAACAAATAACTGTATTGGAACACCCTCTCTATTCACCTGATCTGGCTCCCAATGACTTCTTTCTTTACCCGAAGATAAAGGAAATATTGATGATATTCAGGACATCAAGGGTAATACGACAGTTCTGATGGCTGTTCCAGAAAAAGAATTCCAAAATTGCTTTGTAGGGTGGACTAGGTGCATAGCTTCCCAAGGGGAGTACTTCAAAGGTGACTAGTGATATTCAGCAATGAGGTATGTAGAACTTTTTCTAGGATGAGTTCGTGAACTTAAGTGTATGACCTCGTTATGTATTATATACTGTATTCTTACAATCAAGCTGGAGAAAATGTTATTGAGAGAATCATAAGGAAGAGAAAATACATTTACAGTAATTATTGAAAAAAATTGCATGTAAGCAGACCTATGGTCATCCAAACCTGTTTTGTTCAAGGGTCTACTGTATTCTTAAATTGTCTTCTTACAAATTTATTTCTGGAACTTACTTATAAAATGCTGCTTTTGGGATTAAATGAAAAGAAACTCACAAAATTTACTGTATATATAAGGATAAGGCTTTCACTTAGTACTTCTCACAAATGAAAATAAAAGTCTGTCTTATTTGCTTAGCATATTGCTTGGCAGTCATCAAGTATTGGATGAATGAGTAAATAATGAAATTTAAAAATGAATGAAAGAAAAATAAATTCTGATGATTATAAACTCCCTTAATTACATTATATGATGTATCTACAAATGTACTGATATCATGGAAATTAGTGACACCATTTTCTGTTCACTTTAATGACTGGTGTATTTCTGGAACAGGCTATTATACCTAACAAAATTAATTTGTGGATTATCTGATTTACTTTTTCTGCCTTAACACTTAGAGTTGCTAGAAATTAGTGGTGGGATTAAATAGATCATAGCAGGGTGGAAAAATTAATAAACAGTGGTACATTTCTCATTTAACTATAGGCATGTTAGAAAAAGACTTTTCTAAAATAGTAATTAAGTTAAAATTGTGTTTTACTGAAGTTTAAACTATAACATTTTTTTTTCTGTTTATACAGATCCATCCTTTTGCAATCCTTGCTATTATTCTTCCGTTCAGCATCCTGAACTATGATCCACCTCAAAGGGATGAATTTTTTGGGACTTGCATTCAACACCTTAATCCTTACTTACGTAGGTATATTGTTTGGTACTACATTGAATGAGGAGTAGGTGGGAGTATACTGTTGCGGATATTCTTCATTTAAAGGGTAACCATAATAGCTGAGAGTTCTATACCTAAAAATATGTATTCATTTTTGAAACTTTATTATTATGAAAAATGTCAAACTTATGGATAAATTGAAAAGAATCAACAAGGAACACCTATATACTCATTGGGTAGATTCAAATAATTGTTACTATTTTATCCTATTTGCTTTACTGTTTGTGCCTCTTGCTCTATTTTTTCTGAGCCATTTCAGTGTAAGTTGTAGGCATTGTGACCCTTCACCTCTTAATTACTCAGGCATACCCCTTCTTAAGAACAATGACCTCCTACATCACCACAATTCTGTTATCACATTTAAGAAAATTAATAGTCTTCTAATATAAATACACAATTTATTTCTAAATCTCCTTTATTATTCCCAAACTACTGTGTAGAATGCTTATTTTGGACCCAGAATTCAATCAAGGTTCACTCGTTGTATTTGATTGTTATCTTTTGTGGTCTCTTGTAGTCTAGAATGTTCTCCGGTTTTTTTGTTTTGTTTTTTGCTTGATTTTGACTTGGGGGAAAGGTTTTTTTTCCTCCTAACTTTTTGTTACAATGGCTTGCAAATACACAGAAAAATTGAAAGAACAATATAACAAACTTCTATATACTGTATACTCACAATCTAGCTTTTGAGTGATGATTAACATTTTACCACATTTACTGTGTGTGTGTGTGTGTGTGTGTGTGTGTGTGTGTGTGTGTGTGTNGTCACTGGCCCTCATATGTGGGATCCGAACCGGGGCCCTCTGGCATCCCAAGCCAGTTCTTAACCATCGCGCCACTCGGCCGGCCCTGTAATTTTTTATTTTTAATGACTAGATATAGTCATTTTCTTTTTTTTTTTTTTCAAGATTTTATTGGGGAATTGGAGAAGGGGAACAGCTAAGTTGTTATCCTTCAGTCTTAGTTGTGGAGGGCGCAGCTAGCTCAGCTCCAAGCCCAGTTGCCATCCGGCTGCCTGTCATTAGCTTGCGGCTGCTCAGCTCAAGGTGCCGTGTTCAATCTTAGTTGTGGGTGAGCATAGCCCACCATCACATGCGGGAGTCGAACCAGCAACCTTGTTGTTAGGAGCATGTGTTCTCACCATCTGAGCCATCCTGCCAACAGCTCAGGCATAGCTCACTGGCCCATGTGGGAATCAAACCAGCGATGCTGTTGCTCAGAGCTCGCACTCTTAACCAACTGAGCCACTTAGCCGGCCTAGATATAATCATTTTTAATGACTATTTAATGACTAGATATTACCCATCATTTGACTACCATAATTCACTTAACTATTTTCCATCATTGGGTATTTAGATTGTTTTCAAATTTTAGCCACATTAAAAATATGATTAGTAACATACATTTTTTGCCTGCATTTTAGGTTATTTTCTTAGGCTACTTTTGTCAACAAGAATTGATCATGTCAAATGATATAATTAATTACTTTTAAAGTTCTTGAGCTATACTGTTAAATTACTTTTCAGAAAGATTATACCAACTTTTAAAGTTTACTGTAGTGAATGAGAATGCATGTATCAATGCACCCTTGCTAGCACTGAATATTATGGTTATTTAAATATATTAATTTAATTTCTAAAAAGTTACTCAATTTTGTTTTAATTTAGATTTAATTATCTCTTTCAGGACTTGGAAACCTAAAGATTCTTTAAAAGCTCCCGGTTTTTTATTTGTGTTTTAACAACTGCTGCCCTGGTGATAGGACTCTTACTTAGTTTAGGGTTTGGGAAAGGAGGAGTAGAGGATGGAGTTAATTATATGTCCTGTGCTTTCTGGAGATTTTTTAAGGTTGGACTTTTTATATAGCAGAAGTAAAATGGGAACCAGTAAAATAGAGTGATCACCATATGCCAGGGCCTATACTAGGTCATACCAACTCCTGACTGGTTGTATCAGAAATTCAGCCCAAATCCTGTCTCTAGCAACAGTACTGGAAAGAAACATGGTTCTGACACTGACCTTTTATTTGCCAGGGACTATGGTTTTATTTTTACATTATAAAATTTGGAATGTGCTTTAGATTATC